CACCCCCAACCCCAACCCCCAAAAATCAATGTTGCCTCTTCCCACCTTGGTGTTTTTCTAAAGAGAAAGAAAAATGGTAACTATAGATATGTGAATATTTTCTCCAAGGCTATTGGAAAGAATATAATGAGATGAGAATTTGAAAGAAAAGGTCTAAAAGTCTAAGAACTTCACATGCTAAACACAGTGACTTATTCCCTGTGGGTTTTCCCTCAAAAAATTTTTTTTTACTATTTCTATTACAACATAATAGATGATGCAAAGGTGAAGAACCATGTCCCATTTCAATCTCTTAATTAAATGTGGATTACAACCAGTCTGGGAGTAAACCTCGCCATTTACCTCAGTTATCTATCTGACTTTTCCTCAGTCCCGTCTGTAAAATATCCCTATTTCCTAGACAACTCCATTTTTCTGAATGCAAATCAGACAAGATCAGTATCTACTAATGAAAAATCCCCCATTTTTCTCCATCAAACATCCAACCAGCATATATCTTAGTTTGAATCTCTCCCAAAATGGAGCCTTAGAAAGAATTTGGGAAGAAATAGTCTATTTGGAAAGTGATCTAGGAAGCAGTGACTCTGGGGAAGCCAGACAAAGGAAGAAAGCAAGAAAAGGGGGTATTAATGAGTAAGCTACTACTGTGGGCAACCGTGTCAAAATTCAGCTAAGGACCTTCTGACCAACTGTATTTCACACCCCAGAACTGTCCCACCAAGGTATACTTGCCTATCAATTCATATCCCCCACTATTGGAGGGTCCCTTCTGAGATCATTCTCAATTTCCCAGAGTTTCAGGCCCTCACAGTGCACAGACAAGATACACTCCTATGAAAAGGGAACAGACTCTGGCAGAAAAACTGATGCTTGAGGGAGAAAGCGTGGTTGGGGACTTTCCACTAACATTGTAAGTGACCTTCAGGAAGAACTGAGGGAATGTAGGAAGGACCTCCCCAATGGTCCCTAGGACAACAAATGCCTGAGTTGAGCTAGACATGCAGTAGGTAGCTGTGCTTATTGAATTAATATTCAAATATTCTTTCTTCTTTTATCTTGTAACTAAATTATGATCCTGTTTGTAACTTTTTCCCAAATAGAACCTTTAACCTGATCGTTCATTGACACATCTTTTAATCTGCACAAAAAGCTCCATCTCCATGCTGCAAACACTTGTTTTGAACCCAATTATCTCAGAGTTCTTCTCTCTCTTATGCACTGTCAAGGCAATTTACTTCAAATGAGCAAAGAGCTCCAGCTCATGGCCCTTGCCTTTGAATCTCAGAAAAAACTCTGAAACAGATCTTTTTCTAAACCAGAGGACTATATATGAAGGGTTTCTGTTTCTAGGAGTTTTTAAAATGCTTAATTATTTTAAACTTGCATTATTATTTTCTACATCTGCTATTTACATTACTTACAATGAAACATTCCTTTATGTTAACCTCTTATTAAACTAGCAAATATGAAAGCAGGAAATTTCATCACAGAAAATTCTGTAGCTTTTATATTTAAATCAGTATTGCTGCTTTGTGAAAGACTTTGGAGTCCATAGCGAACTACTAATAGAAAAATGTACGAACACATACAGAACAAAATGAAAGCTGCTTTCTAGAAACTCATTTTGTTTTCATATTAGATATTACCTATTGATTTTTGTTCTTCCAACCACATTGTCCTCTTCTTATAACCCAGGAGAATGGCTTATTAACTTTACTTTGGGGAGACTATGCTACTTTATCAATCCCCAAAGGAATTTTCCATCTGAGAGTGAGTTTTTCTTTTTTTTTTTTTTTCAGAGAGGTTCCTGCTATAAGGCGCATGCGCTCACCAGACAGACAGGCAGAGACAGACAGGCAGAGACAGACAGAGAGACAGAAAGCGAGAAATCACCCCCGCCAGGGGGGATGGCCCCTCTCCTCCATGCCCTCTCAGGATCTTGGGCATGCACGCACACACACCTGGCATGAGTTTAAGCCACCGGGTCTGGGACTTGAACCATGGTCTACTACGTGGGAGTCCAGCGACACAGCCATTATGCTAACTGCTGGTCCCGAGAGTGAGTTTTTCAATGAAACTATATCTAGGAATTTTGGTGCTGTAAATATGTGTGTTGGGGGTAAAAAGACGTCATTGTTTTTTTCTTTTTTTAATCCTACAGCATGTCCAAAGTACCACATTTTTTTAGAGCTGGAGAAATAGTATTAAGGATATTGATGGGAGTATACTGCAGTGTCTCCTGTCTGACTCGTATTTGTAATGAACCTGAGTTTGGGTGGTGGCAATAAAAAAGACATAATTTAAGCAGGTCTCAGAAAAGCTCTACTCATTTATGTGGCAGGCTTCAATCTCATGCGAAGGTTTAATGAGAACCACATGCAGTACAAAGTGTGCCCACCATCTGTTATAGAAGGTAGCTCTGGAAAAGCAGAGGAATAGCTTATGTAAAGAAGATATGTCCAGTCTTTTGTAATTGAAAAAAAGACCCAAAAGAGAAATCGGGAGAAAGAGGAACAAAAAAATAAATAAATAAATAAGAAAAAGACAACTGGCATAGCAACTATTGATCCATAATATACTTTCTGGTAATTTCTGAATGTCGCCCAAAGAAAAGAATGACATGGACAATTTATGTGTCTATTGAAAGTAATCTTCCAAGCATGAATGGCTGAAAGATTATAATTTCTTTCTTCCCAATCATTACAGGGCTCCCAGAGGTCATACAAATAACCAGCATCCTTTCATCCTAAACACTACTAAGCTCAGGTTGAGATATGAGCCTATTAAAATTCAGTTTAAAAAAGACTTTTATTTTGCTGATGATCTCATTTATTAATTGCTGACTGCCTTTTAAAATCTTCAGTGGAAAACAAAGGGACCTTCAAATTCTTTCTCTGAGAATTAAGCTTTCACTTAAGGATTCGAAATGGGCTATATTTAAGTATTAAAGTTCAAGTGCTTTACCAGAAGATGAAAGGAATTTTCTTCAGTTGTTCCGCAATTGCCACCCAGTAGTTCTTCAATCCTGGCCAAATTGAGCATCAATTTAAATTAGATTTACTCATGGGACCGTCAACAATCACAATCAACACAAGATATTAGGGAGTTTAGGAAATGGGTCTATTAAATGACAATTAACGCTGTCAGCCTTCCAGAGCTTATTTTCGGTTAATTTGATCCTGGTAGACAGTCGTATTTGACTGCTGTAAACAAAGAGGTTTGCTGTGCGATTTAAACTGAGACCCAGGCTGGTTGTTGAGCCCTGGCGCTAACTTATGCTTCGCTTTTCCTTTAAGGTGTTTTCAGTTTTTCTCTGAATAAATGATTCAAAACCACTTTCTATATGACTATTTAAATACTCCTGACAATCCTAATATTCACCAAAGAGCAACTTAGCTGACATCTTTCCAAGAAGTCAACAATGAATGCGGGGTATTGATTGGCTTTTCCTTTTTTGCATGGTCTCACAGAAATCCTTCAGGCTAGATGTTCTCCATCTGCCATAGAGTAAAAGCTAAAGAGTGCTTTGCACTTAAGATGTGCCTGAAATGGGCTATTAGAAGTTTCAGATGATAGGACAGCAGCAAAACACAGTGCTCCACTGCAAGGCTGACACATACAGAAAGGTGAAGGGTCAAGATTTGCATGCAATCTTCCTAAGTATGCCAGTCACTCTTGTGTCCAAGATCCACAGTGGCTGAAGCTGGGGTGGATTACAGTGTCAAGACCCTGCTGAGGTGCTGTCTCTTGCGCTCTCTCTCTCTTTCTCTCTCTCTCTCTGTTTCTCTCACTCATGGAAGAAATAAATAAACTGACATTGGCAAGATGTGAAGTTGGTTTGTTTTTGCTGCTCTTCCTGCCTCATTCACCTTAACCCTCCCCAAACCCTATACCACCATTTTCCACCAGAAAAACACCCGTTAGTGCCACTTTCAGACATTTCCCTAAGTTGTATTCTCTGCAGGCTGAAAGGTTCAAAGACAGGGCCTTTCTACACCAAAATCCTCGTGTATATTCCCCACATTGTTGGATCACACTCACTGCAACCTGCCTGGCTAGAAAAGCTGAGGTGTTCATGGATTAATGTGTCATATGTATGTGGTCATTTATATTATTAAATGAGATGTTCCTGAAGACAACCAAATATGGAATTATAATGAGAATTTCAGACTCCACATAAACCCAATACTTAGGATTTTAGTAGTTTAAAATCTTTTTTAAAAACTATATTTTCTCTGTACGTGCATGCATGCCTTAGTTTATTTATGTTTCATTATGAAAAGATATTCATGCTTATTATAGAAAATGTGGAAAATGAAAAGTTAAAGGAAGACCAAATTTATCCCTATGCTCATCATGTACGAATAACATTTTTAACGTCCTATTATGTTTCCTTCTACTCTTGGTAACATGCACAACTTTTTGTTTATGGAGTCATGACTATAGTGCATGTACAGTTTTGCATTCTTTTGCTGTTTTCATATTTATTTAAAACTGTCAAAGTAATTCTAGTCCCAAAACTGTTTTCTGTAGAGCCACACTTTGTTCCTTTCTTCGCTTATCAGGTTACCTGCCAAGACTATCTTAAAAGCTTGTCTAGTCTTTCTGAGCTTCTTTCCTACCCCAGTCTCTAGATTAAATTGGAAAGCTTCCTCATAGCTAGCCAATAAGTATATATCTCCAGATGAAAGCATGCAAATCCAGTTCTGGAGTAGAGAAAGGACTGGTGTGTGTTAATGCAAAGTGGATGCAGCTGATGCACATATGGAGACTAGCAGGGTCACCAGCAGTAGCTCAAGGTCATAGACTATCGTGGTGGTAAGAGCCTGCACTAAGGACCAGCAGATGGTGGAATGGTTACATCACTGGACTCTTACATAGTTGACCATGATTTGAGTATTGCATCTGGTGGCTTAAAACTCACTCCAAGCACATGTACATGTCCAAAATTCCAACAAGAGAATGGAAGAGAAAGGATTGCAGCGTGGCCATTTCCCCTGGGGGGTGATTTCATTCTGTCTTTCTGTCTCTCTCTTTCGCTGTCTCTCCAGCAAGTACATGCGCCCTATAGCAAAAACCTGTCTAAAAAAATAAAAAGCTTGCTTTGCCACAGCTTGCTGCCCATGTAAGATTCGGCCTCTGCTCCTCAGCTGCTTTAAAGATAGCCCCATGGAGCCACAGAAATTCAGCTCTAAGCACAGCTCTTTCCTGCAACCAAAAGTACACCTTTCTTCTACTCCATCCCTTCTTTACTCAAGAGCATGGTCTCTGCTTAGCCAAACCCACTGACGTGGCTCACAGACTAAAGATGTAAGGGAAGGGTGTGGAACTCTTAGGATTATTCAGGATTTGGTGAACATATTCACATTTCTATCTGGGCTACTTTTTTTTATAATTCTGCCACTGACCGTGTGGCAAAGTGCTAGCATTGACTTTACGTAATTCTTTTGGGTAAGCGATAATCATTTTTATAGCAATTTCGAATTGAATGAAGTATGGTTGAATATACTAAAGAAATCATTGAAAAGAGAATATGAATGGGTGGTGGTGGGGGGGGGAAGAATTGGGTAGACCTCTATTGATTTGAGTATTTTATTTGTAAATAGTATGTCATTTTACTAGTGGAGCTAAATTTCATCCAACTTTTCTATAAATTTTGGTTTATATTAGATTTAAACTTATTCTAGAGAGACTTTTGCTCTTTTTGAGCAAGCAAAACTGTCCATAGGGCAGCCTTACTAATATTTAATAATAGTAAATGCTTAAGAAGACTATTAGATTTCCAATAACTAACAATATGATTATTTACCCAGAGACTTGGAAGAAGCTAAATTCGCAATGTGTTGACTGGTATGTTTGCTATCTTTAAGTTGGATACTAAACACATAGCACAGAGAGAACACAAAGGAAAACATTGTTTTTTCTCCTGCCAGTGCTCATTAACCCCTTAAAAATGAGTGCCCAGAATTGCTTTAAGAAGTGAAACCTGCTTCCCACTGGGGGATCAGGAGAGGGATAAAATGGAATTCACAGAAAATCAGAGCTTTATTGAAAGCCTTGGCAGTGGTAGCTACGTGAGTCATTCAACTGGTCATCATTATTCTTATTGATCTCCAATTCAGGTATAGTCAATCTTCTAATAAGAACAGATGAAGAGCATGACAAGATAAGAATAAAAAGGGAAAGGGAGCTGAAATGGTTGAGATTATACATTATTATTGTAATAAATGACTTGTCAGATATGTAGCTCAATAGAGTAAAATGAATGACCTGTTTCTTTTTTCCATTTTCTTATGTGATCAGAAGAAATCTAAGAAATGATGTAGCATTTTAAAAACCAATAATGATGATTACATTTAATGTTACATAGATAAACTGAGTTATATTTTCCTGCTTAGATAGCTTTTATTTTTTTTTTTGCATGAAGAGCTTCTTGTTAGAGTTGTACACATCTACCTAAGGAATGTACAATATTAGCACTTTCATTATTCATCATTGTAAAGGATGGATTGACCTCTTTGGTTGTAAAAATGTGTACTTATGTAATTTACCATAATACAAAAGTTCAAAATAAGATGATATATGGAGAATTCATGAAGAGATGGCCAATTTTTCTTTTTTAACTCTGGGAAACGAGAGATTTGAGAAATTATTTGAATACAGTAAGAAGATACATCATTTATTGGTTAAAAATTGACATGTTTTAATACTGTAACAAGGTTTGTAAGTCAGGAAACCCTCAGTCATTTGAAAAAAGATAACTTTGAACATACTTTAAGTGTAGCCTCGAAGACCAAGCAGAGAAGAGCTAGTCTCTAGTCATGGTTTAAGAACTTCAAAGAGGATCATTTGACCTCTGTCCCTGTTTTGGGTCCTAGCAAGCAGCCATGTCAGATAGTCTTTAGTCTCTGGGGGAAAGACACCTACTCAATCACATTCATTTTCAGGAAAACATGACTTTTCTTTTTCTTTCTTTCTTTTCTTTACTTGTATGTGTGTGTATGTGTGAAATGTAATAGTATTAGCTCTTAGTAGAAACCACACAGCAGCAAAAGCCACAAAAGCAAAGTGGATGGTTTACAGTATAGGCTGTAGATGACATTGTTCCTGCCACATCCAAATCCTTATCCTGATTTCACCTCAGTCCTTTGTCACATTTTGCCTTGATTTTTACTCTGTGTTTTAACTGCTGGGTTAAGGTGATGTCTGCCTCTGTGCAGGTCCTGACAAAAGGGCCTTCAACCAAATGCAGTCAATCAAACCTGCAGCACCCAGTCTAAGTGTGTGCCACCCTGGGCCCTCTGGCCTAACACTTCAGGAGATCAGAACTATGCTTTTCTGGCCTTTCGTACCTGTAACTGTTTAGTAGGCCTCAGTGATTGTTATCAAAGAAAAGGAGAAAGGAAAGTAAAGATGAAAGGGGTGAGAAGATCTAGATAAACAGAGAAAGTGTGGTGTGTACTTCATGAAGCAAATTTTTGAAATAGCATTTTTATTCTGTACCATATACTGGACTTTTTTTTTCACTCAAGATAGGAATCTAAGAAAGTACCAAATAATACAAACTATGGGACCAGTAGTTGATGTAATGACTATGTTGCTGGACACTTCTGTAGTCAACCACGGTTCAAGTCCCAGACCCGATGGCTTAAACTCACGCCGGCCGCATGTGCATGTACACCCAAAATCTCAAGAGGAGAACGGAGGAGAAGGGATTGTGGTATGGCCATCCCCCCAGGGGGGTGATTTCTTGCTTTTTATCTCTCTGTCTCTATCTGTCTCTCTGGTGACTGCACATACCCTATAGCAAAAACCTCTCTCTCAAAAAAAAATACAAACTACAATATATTGGGTTGTCAGAAGTCACGATGCATTTTTACATAGAAAAAAAATACATCATGACTCTTCCAATAGCCCAATAGATACCAATAGAATAACGACCAATTGTTATCAGTAGAAAAAAAAAAAACAATTGAACAATGACAAAATGAGAGTTAGACAATAAGACTATTCTCATCCCAATATTCTTATTCTTTGTGGCATGTCATTAAAATAATAACACATGGTCCTACTAATATTGCAAACTATCCAAAGATATGAATAAGTGTGATGAGAAAAAGTGAGACTGTGTACTCTTGAAGTCTCTCCACATATCCTTATAAACTACAAAGGGGAAAATAGGACCTGCACAGAGGCAGACATCACCTTAACGCAGTTGTTAAAGTACACATCACTAAGAGGGAGACATAGCATATCGTGCACACCCTGATGTAACAGAGCAACTAAATGTAACGTATGACCCTGGACTGGATACTGAATCAGAAAAAGAATATTAGGGAGTAGACACAGCAGTAACACATCTGGACCACATGGGAAGGTCCTCAGTTCATGTCCTGAGACCTCCCTGTGCACATGCATACGTGCCCATGATCCAGATTAGCTGAGGCTGGAGGAGGATCACAGTGTGAAGATCCTGTTAGGAGGACTTGTTTCTCCATCTCTCTCTCTCACATTCTCTCTCTCTCCTCTCTCTCTGTCTTACTTTCTCATACAAGAAATAAACCTTAAAAAGAAAGAAAAAAGATATTAGCAAAAAATATTAGAAAAAAATGAATAATTGAATAATTAATAGTAAATCGTGTTAATTTCCTGGTTTTTATCATTATATGAAGATTCTGTAAGATATTAATATTTAGGGAAGTGAGGGAAAGATATAATAAAATTCTTTGTAGTATTTTGTTACTTTTTGTGAGTCTGAAAATTATTTCAAATGAACGGTTAAGCCTTTTTAAATAAAATATAAATATTTAAATATTTGATTTTATTACAAATTCTTGAGCATTCAATACATTTCTAAGGAAAAGAGAATAAAGATTGCAAAGGCACTGGCATCTACCTTAGATTGGTAAGTAACTTGGGCATTTGGGAATTTAATTAAAGAGAGAAAGAGACACAGGGAGGCAGAAAGACAGACAGTGAAAGAGTTCCTAAGTCGATATGTCTGCATTGACAAAGCCTTTCAAGGAGGACCAGGGCTTCATCTTAGAGTCACGCCAAGGATTCCATTGCTGTCCCTG